ACGACGAATGACTGACCGGTCATAGACACTATGGGCGACCAGTGGTCATAATCATGATGAGTGACCAGTGGTCACGGTCATGATGGGTGGCCAGTAGTCATGGTCACGATGGGTGACCAGTGGTCGTGGTCACGATGGGTGACCAGTGGTCATGGTCACTGCAAGATGACCAGCGGTCATGCTGGCAGTTAAGGTGGTTTATTTCAAGCACAGGGAATGGGTGGTGGCAGGCGAACAACGTAACAGAAAACTGAGATAAAGAGGAGTGTAAACGTAGTTCTAGCCCCTAACAGGTTAATAACGAATAGTATTGATTTTCCTACAAAAGATACGCGTCAGCATTCCTCCGGGCTGGAATACTAGTGGCTACCCGACGTACAAGGTTTACCGTCTGCGTGTTCTCTCAAGGTTTGTCCCTAGATTGCTTGGCTAGGGACAAGTATACTCATTCAAGTTAGCCCGCGATCGGACGCGGCAAGCATACAAGGCAAGGTCTTCAGACGGCTCAAGTTATCAGAAGAACAAGGGGATCAAGTATCCACATTTGGGCAAGGCGACCTCAAGGAAGGTCAGGCAACTCTAGGAGAGTGCCACCAGTAACCGTTGGTCGTGTGAAGAATTACCACGCGACCACACCACACCTATCCTCAACTCGGTCAAGACGAGACATCGACCTCAAGACACCTAGAAGAGTGCAACCGCCCACCGACGGGTACACAAGGTGAGAAGAAAAAATACAAGACACACGGTCCGGAGTACCCCCTCTGTTAGTCGGTCTTCCGGGCGCAAGTGGGGGGTCAGGATCGCTACGTAAATGAGCGAATACAACTTCACCCTAGAGGTCTTCGAAGACAAATCCTTTGTATAACGATTTTGTTGAATGCAGGGATATTTTCCCTGAAACCGTGCCATGCGAGCTGCTTAAGGACAAATGCACTCGGCATGAGATTGAGCTGAAACCCGTTTCGAAAAACAGTGTCATGAAGCAGTGGCCACTGTCTCGTGAACACGCCACAGAGATCGGCAAATTCTTTGCCAATCGTTTAGTGGCCAATATAAGGTGAGAGAATCAACATCCCCACACAGCTCTCTGACCTGATGGGTGCGAAAGGTCACAGGATGGTGGCAAATAGTGCACGCGTTCAACAAATTGAACACTGCAACGGTACCGGCTCAGACGCCATAACAGATGAAGGACGTCATCATAGATGGTATGGCAAGTAATAGCATCTTTTTGTCATGCGTGAACGGGACGTACCGCATAAGCAGAAGTCACCCTCAGCGGTATGCTCTGGGAGTGGCTAGTGATGCCACAGGGGCTAAGTAACGCCCGGCAACGATCAACAGATGCGTTACAAATCTGTTGCGATTCGTGCGCGATTTTGAACCGAGTTACTTTGACGATGTCTTTATTCATAGCCGGGCTATGGGTGGAAAGATAAACGTGGAGGCTCGTAGAATCAACGTCTGGAAGGTTTTTACACTTATGCGAGAGCATAAGTTGATTCGCTCAATTTCAAGAAAATCATATTTGAAGCGAACGAAATATCACTTCTTGGCTGCATCGTGGGTAAAAACGGCGTACTACCTGATCCGGAAAAGATCAAGGCGGTTAGAGAATGGCCTGTGTCAGTGCACGTCTAGGGACATTCAAGTCCCTTGGCTTGGCGGCGTACTTGCACAAGTACTTGTTCAACTACGCGAGATGACCGAACGTCTATCTCGTCTGTAAAAGAATAACGAGAAGTGGCCATGGAGTGCTGAAACTCAGCACTCCTCCAAAGGTATCTAGAAAATCCTGACACAATCGCCTGTGTTGGCGATTGCAGATCAGGACACACCATTCCATGTGGTCTGCGACGCCAGCGATTTTGCAATGGGATGCGCGTGGATGCAGTACGACTCAGATGGCGTTGAGCGCGTCGTCTGTTACCAATCGCGTCAGCTGCAAGCAGCTGAGCGTAAATACCTGGTGAATGACAAGGAGCTCCTTGTCATGAAATATGTCCTGGCTAAGTCTCGGGTATGTCTCTTAAGATATATGCCCTTCATCGTTTATATCGACCATGCGTCGTTTCGCACGGCTGTAAACAGTCCACACCTCTCGCAACGAACAGCGAGGTGGCTGTCTTTATTCGCGCAGTGCTACGTCGAGTATAAATTAGGACGACCTATTGTCGTCGCTGATGCTCTTTCACGTCGGCCCGGTTTTGAGCCGACTGCTCAACGTAGCAGTAGGGGTGAACCCACTGTTGCGGCACTATCAGTGAGTGTTTCGTCGTCGACTATGAACTTAAATGCACGGATAGCATACATATAATACGAGTCTCTTGTGCGATTTATGGATTACGTATCTGATTCCTGCCGTCAACCTTCGAAAAGCTTGTCGTCTCAATATCGCTTTTTAACCAAATCGTACTCGGTTTGTGATGAAATGCTGTACTATGTAGAACTCAACGGCGACACACCTCGTGTCGTCGTTCCAGCTTATAATGAGTTGCGACTGTGCATCATGTTTGAGTGTCACGATGCCCCAACAAGTGGGCATCGCAATAGAGAAAAATCTTACCTTGCGGTAAGTCAAAACTTCTACTGGCCTCGCCAGTATGAGTTTGTGCGCAAGCACATTCGCGCTTGCGAATTTTGTTAACTGGTGAAGCCCATTTATCCATCCAAAGCACCCTTGCAGCCTCTACCTAATCCGGCAGAGTGCTGGTAGTCCGTATCGATGGACTTAGTCTTTGATTTTCCCAAAGAAGCTCACAAGAATACTGGCCTTCTTGTGTTTGTTGATCGGTTAAGCAAGACGGTACATTTTGTTGCTGTACCGGAGTCAATCACACAAATTCCAGGGCTTTGATCGGGTCTTCATCGATAATATCTTTCGACTTCACGGGTTGCCCCGTGAACTCGTGCCTGATAGGGACCCCCGCTTCACAACGGAGTCCTGGCAATCCGTGTTCCGTTCACTTGGAACACGTTTGAGGATGTTGACTTCTGACCATCCAGAGACAGATGGTCAGACGGAACGCGTCAACCGCATCCTCGAAGAGATATTTCGAGGGAATGTCCACTCGTTTACGAGTTGGAGTGAATTCTTGCCGGTGGCGGAATTCGCCATCAACAACTCGGCGCACGCGTCGACAACGCATACACCGTTCTTCGTGAATGGCCTATGCCACCCACGTTTGCCCGCCTTCTTAGAGTGTGGCTCTAGTTTAAGGGGAGGGTGGACTCGCTCGAACAAAAATCGATCCGGTTCTTGCTCATCACCCGTCGACAATGGTGTCGACGTGATGGATGCCGATGTCGATCACATCGATATCGATGATGATGATGAAGACGATGTTGGCATATTCAGCATCGTCAATGACTACCACAGTGAGGATGATGACGCCCTCACTGGTGAAGACAACGTTCCTCCAGCAGTCCACAAGAAGCGCACTGCTGTTGACAAGGATGAATCAGCAGAGGAATTTCTGCTGACTCGCGAAGCGGTTGTCCGCTTCGTTCAAGACTCTATTGCAGATGCACTAGACAAACAGAAGATAAACGCATACAAACATGAAAGAGCAAATGTTCGTTCATTTGATATAGGAGACCTAATTTTACTGTCTACAGTAATCTTATCGAAATGTACAGTGACAAACGTGGGCAGAAGTAAATTACTGCCCAAGTATATCGGCCCATTGCGTGTGTTGCGCCGAATGTGCAACGCATACACGATTGAACTACCTCGTAGGATGCGTACGCATCCTATGTTTTACGTTAGACGTCTCCGCCTGTACTATCAGTACGAGCCCGCTTTAAGAGGCGGGAGAACACCTCCGCGGTCAAGGGCCGAGACACCTTAATGTGGTCTCATTTCAATGAGCCAGTCTGGTCGACTAGCGTATCTACCTGCTCACGCAGTTAAACGATGTCTTGACGAGCTGCAGCCAGCTCGTCACGAAGAGAACGAACCGAACGTTCGTTCATTATCAGGTTGTATTAACGCAAACGCGGCACGATCGTCCGACCGATCGTGCGCTAAGGAATTGTAATTATCCTTTACAAGGTCATGAAGCTCATAACGCTGAGTCCGTTCATGAGCCAGGTCATCTTGCAACTGTTCCGTACCACGATTCAGCTCCTGAACATCAAGCTGATCCGACCCTCAAGCCGGATCAGGTGTTCTCGCCACCACCACATCCTTTGGTGGACTCTGGCGGCGGTAAATGCTTTCTAGAGGAGCGTATTCTGAACCACCGCGACGTGAATGGCGTCAGGAAGAGTTACCTTGTCCGCTGGCGTGGCTATCCACCGGCGTGGGACAGCAGAGAGCCTCGCGCCCAGCTTATTGTAAATGTCCTGGGTCTCGTCGAGCAATACGACGAGACCTACTCGCTGTGTTTGAAGAAAGGCCGTCGGTAAACGACCTCCCCGAATGCGAGTACAGGTATTGCAAGGTACGATCTCTTCGGCCATCTCGGAAGAGATGCGCAACCTCCAATAGGGATCATTAGGGAGGAAGGCCTCCCTAGGGGCACGGTTAGAGTTGTCCATGCAACCTGGACACGAATCACCCCACGAGAGACGGGGTAACTCTGCCTCTCTTGACAGCTGGTGCAACTAGTAACGTACCCCGGCTGTATTTCGTTTCTTAAACTTGATGCGAGCTGCGTCAAGTTTCTGAGGCAGGCCTCACGGCCAATGCACTCGATGTTAAGGATGAGGGCATTTCATCCTTGCACCAAGGCTTTACCGTCTCGACCACAGTGGCCATTGTACCACCGATGTTTTTAAAATGCATCAATGAAGAATTCTTCCTCACCAAGGATAGTTTTCGTGCTCAAACTAGGAGGACAGTTCCTCCTACAATCGAACAACGGGATTCGATCTCGTTCGGTAGTCATGCAGGCCAACCGGTCCAACTCATTGGATGACGGCGTCCACGGAGGCTCCGCTTGAGGAGCGTAACGCAGGACATATCGGTCCCTAACCTCTTGATTGGTGTCAGCATGAGCACTGACACCAGTGGCGACTCGATCTCTCGAGTTGCTTCGCTCGTGGTGGTGCTTAGGGGCATCACCACCATCACCAAGCGTTCTATCGTTGGATGGACTTGCGTAGGCGAAGACTCGTCGGAACAATCGCTCAGTCCAAAGATCTCGAGCATGATGCCGCTACGTTCACCAGAGCCAGTCAACCTGGCTCTTGCAGTGTCCGCCGCGGATGATCCGGAGGCGTGAGGTGTCGCCTTTAAGTGGGATGCATCATCCGAATCGCCAGAATAGATGAGCTCTATTTTAGACTCATCTGCAATAGGATTCGCGGTACCCGCTGCAGAAGCAGCGGTTGTACCTGTCGCAAGTGGTTACTCACCATGTGGACTGCTCACAACAACAAGCGACGAATCACCAGCTGCTGATGCGTGAGAATTACCCTCTCCTGTTGCACGCATGCGTGTAGCCGTCTTTATTGCTGCTGCAGTATCCACTCGCTTGGTTTTCGACACCATACGTTGGATTGGCAAATGAATAGAATTTGAACAGCAAGTGCTTTATTTCCCAGAGTGATCCGACGATAATCACCCTGTCCCAATTAATTTTATTCAATCAACGGGTGATTAATGGTTAATAAGGGGTGATAAAACGGGGTAGGACGTAACATTATATTGACAACAAACGGTGTCAATAGGGATATTGTCACCAAACGGTGTCAATAGGGATGTTGTCTAGCATGACAATATCCAACCACTATTTTCCAAGATGGATGAAATTGAAGGAATATTATCCCTTCTTGGATAGCATTCATGCGCTGCTCAAAGATTGGTTAATAAAAGACATGTCAACCATAGATTACCACCAATCGCTGCTAGACGCGCGCAATGACTGGTGAGCAGGTTGTCGTCTTACGACGACGCATTTAACATAGTTAGATAAAGACTGAAGTTGTATTGATAGCTTAACTATACTAAATAAAGTTCTCTTTATACCCTTTACTCAACATAGCTGTTTGAGTAGATTAGCTTCCTCTGCACGTACTAGTGTACGTGAAGTGTCGTGGCACCCCAAACAAAGGGTGATTCGTTTCAGTGAAGTTCCACTATAACGTAACACTTGTGTGTGTGTCTTTGTGCGATTTTATATAAGCGACCTCCTATTAATTCCTGGGCCATTTTGTGGATGTGCCTAAAATCTAGCAATCCTTGACATTGTTAGCTTTGTATCTGACTACATCGATGATTGTTTCATTCTTGTTGTTGTCGACACTATAAGTTGCGTACTTGCTGACAACAATTTTTGAAGACCGCATTATCGACATAGTGCGATATACTACAAGTTCTTGGCAATATTTAATGACCAGTTACCTCTATGCTGTCATCGTTAACGCAAATAACTAGAAATCAATTCATCCATTCTGCAAATAAGGGACATGGTGATTTTATGACATTGATTTGTACAAATATTACACGTGTAGTCGGCTTCTTGCAGTTGGAGGGTTTTAGCTTTAATACAAATAATCTTTTCAGGCTATTTCGACGTATGCTTCATAAATGTGCTCTTAATTCTATCGATGTAGCCATTTGTCTGCTAGCAAATGACATCACAGCAAAATTGATTTAATATTGGAAGTAGGGTAGAGATGTTAAATTGAGTAAGGTGTCATCCGAATGAGATTGGGTATAACATATCGGGATTGGAAAGTCAATTTTTATTAGCCAGAACAAATTGTCGTTACGATGACCCACTCGTTATCGGTATGCTTAACCTATCGCTTTGTCGAATGATGAAAAAGCACCGTGAAAGATAAACACCAGTATTGCTAGTGGTAAGGCGCATCTTAACAGCTCTAGCCGAGGGCCAAGCCTAACAGCACAAGCAACTTCTAAACTGCATATATAGATATGAAAGTGTGATTGCGTGATTGTTACACTCACAAAAATGTCACTTTGTGACATTGTCAAACAAATTGTAGCACCTTGGCGTCAGATGCAAAAATCGAGATGCATGAGATGAGCGTGGCCATACTTTTTGGTGACGCAACAACACGCTAAAGGCTTATATCTAGCAGAGCTTCTTAGCGCTCCTTAGAAGAGGAAGTCTTCGACTCATAGCGTCTCTTAGTTATAAAAACTAGCAACGACGTGCAGTCATATAAGCTCACACGCTGAACAATCCCTGCTCCGAAGGGAGTACGATTCGCAGAATCACACACTACCTTTTTTTATTCTTCGCCTACGGTAATGAAACCCTAAAACCCTTTTCTGACTGACTTCTACATTGCGATCCTATGACAGAAGTCTTCTCCCTTATTCTTACCCCATAAGGTGCGTATTACCGTAAGCACGTGGTATTAAGACCGTACCACTCAGATCCACTAATCTTTACTTGGTGTAGATACACAACATAACTGGTTCAATAATCGCAAGCAACCCAGTTACATTAAATGTCAGCGATGAGCTTGCAAAAACTATTAATGAAATCCAGGCTCATATATTAGTGAATGGGTAGCACTTCGACACGACGACCTGTACATGAGTAAGTCATTAGCAGACCGACACTCCTGAAAGTTTTAGCAGCGTAAGTTTATTTTTACAAAAACCATTTACAGCCCGGCAGATGTACCAATCGCCAGTATAATCGGAAATTTCAAACGTCCCCGTATTAGAACCCTCTTTCCGAATTCTGTAACTTGTGGGGGGCTCTGAATGCTAGATGCCCACACACAAAATTTAGTGGCACATGTTGGCTTAACGAACAAACTGTTATGACCTAGCGAGGTCAGCGTCGTTGATTGGGATGCATTTAACATCACGATGCATTGACTATACTAAATTAAGGTGCTGTACGCCGTGGTCGGTCATCGCTATCCCGTCTTGCGTGCCACATTTCGTGATGGGCACGAGACGTACATAGACTACATTTGATTGCGTCCCGGAGGAGCCAGAAAGTGCTACCGGGGTCAACAATTACAGTTCTGCATCGCACTGGTAACTTCAGGGGCTTTTTATGGTTGGGCCGGCTGGCTGCTTACACCGCCAAAAATTGGAGGCAATGCTGAACGCTGGAAAAGCCATACTGGGTGGTTGAACTACGTCAAAGCGCGGATAGGGCAAGCAAAGCCGCGGCTTGTGCTGCAGCAATGTTTGCTATGCAAGCGGTGGTGAGCCACGTACAACCAGCGGATAGACAACAGTCATCTGCGTTTCTAACCTGGCTTGTTAGCCTTTTTTAGACATGTTGCAAGCAATACGAACGTTGAATAGACAGCATCTTCTATCCCTCACACTTCGATGTGCAGGCAACGGTATAGTCAGTCGGTGTAGCCACGGTGGATACGCCCGTGAGATGCTTCTACGATTGGTTCGAGCGCCTTCATTTTTACGGTGATTCGTCGATCGAGCGTAGCACTGACGCAGACGCTAGAACGTAGACGGGCATTCTTTCTCTGAGACACGCACCTTTTGACCCGACCTCGGAGGAAGGTTTCTAGCAGCGATAGTAGGTGAGGTCTTGGCGCAATTGCTTCGGCACCCTGCCCGGTCTAGCTTCGATCCGATCCGTTCATGTGCGAGAATGTCCAACGGTCTGATGTAAAGTCCGGAAGAAGCGCATCGCAGGTTCATGCGATCCCACGCGTGAGATTTGGCCTTGGGTGTATTCGAGAGAGAGAGAGGGTTCGTAGTGATTGTGTGCTGCGAGCACAATGCAACTTCGTGAAGTCCAATCGTTGAGATCGACAGTGCAGCTGCGGTAGCTGCTGTCGTTGTCGCATGATTAGCACCGAACGCGACATTGCATCATCCTGTCGCCTCTTGGCATATCCAGGCTACGCACGTGTCACACGCACCTGTCGATCCCCAACGCATGTGCTGCATCTTGAGATGGGAACTCTCGTGTCGTCTGATGTCTTCAGCCAGCAATCAGACGGTACGATTCGGTGGCTTCGTATCCTCTTGTTGACGCTGTCCTCTCGGCGCTTGCGAAGTCTCCGTCGAATTCGCCCGTCAGCACGAACCTCCTTCTCGATCATCTCCATTCTTCATTTCGGAATTCACCTTCTACTCAACAAGCGCATCTTGGACCTCCCACCCGTCCAACGGATCTTCTCCTCACGTGAGCCATGGTCCATTCGTTCCTGCTCAAGATCTCGGCATTGACTTCGTCGACGCTGCTGGCATCGACTCTGCTGGCGTCGCCAGGAGCTGCTAACCCAGCTCCAGGCACTGTCCTACTCGAGCATGTATCTGGCTCCCGTGCAGAAGTCGCTGTCCTCGGCGCACAAGTGATATCGTTCTACACGGCCGATAACCCGAACGTGAACGTGCTGTTCATGGCCGACGACCCGTCGACCTCCGACGGTGTGACACCCATCCAAGGCGGTCTCACCCCCGTGTTCCCATACTACGGGACCGCCCCAAGCGGCTATTCCATCCCCCTGAACGGTTTTGCCCGCACCATGAAGTGGGAAGTCAGCAGCGTGACTCCGGCGACCAATCGCGATTCGCCCACCTATGTCTACTTCGACCTGGAGTCTACTGACGCTACCATGCAGATGTGGCCTTTCAAGTTCCAGCTACGGTACGAACTGGAGTTGCGGTCATCTTCGCTCGAAAGCAGGTTCGCTGTGAAGAGCACCCACTCAGCAGAATTCAGCTTTCACGCGCTGATTCAAAACTACTTCTCCGTCCCCGACATCCGCAACGATGGCGTGACGATTTCAGGTCTGAAGAACGTCAACATTTTTGACCGGATCTCGAATACGAACCAGACCGAAACGCGTGAGAGCTTTGGCATTTCATCGCAGATTGACAACATCTACAAGAACGTCACGGGCAACGTGGTTGCCCACATCAGGGATGAACACTTCAACCGGAATGTCGTCGTCGCGGCGTCTGCTCAGTGGGGTGATGGTGCCCACAGGCCGAGAATCCCTCCTACTGATTGCACTGTCTGGAACCATGGGAACAGCGGTGCTAAGGACTTGGGTGACTTCGGGGACGAGAAGTACCTTCGCACGATCGCCATTGGATTTGGACATGTTGCCGAGCTGGAAGAGCTTTATCCTAGTCTGCGTTACGACCTGACCCAAGTCATCATGGTCGTGAAGGCTTAGATACTACCCAGGAGGAGCCTTAGTGCAGGCTTGTAAAGTCTTGCTGCTTTCGCGCGATGGTTGAGCTTTTCCGCGCAAGATCAAATACAGAAATCACTTTGATACTTGAATGCCGGTTCTGTCCCTCTCCTATCTCCGCGTTTGCAGAGCACGTTTTGATACCTCAGTCAGTTTTCACACCTGTCCTATCGTATGTTTGTTTTCCCTCGCGATCCCGCGCTTGGTCGTCCACCGTGAAGTGGTGAAAGCAGATTCATGAAAAGAGTTCAAGTCTGTGCGAATGAGCAAAACTCAATAGCATGGACTGAAACTCGTCTCATGTATTTTAAATCGAGCTGCTTCAGTCAATAAACATCCACGCTTCATCATCGGATCGGATGCGGCAGAACAAAAGCTGATTGCTTGGCAGGACATCTATTTGATCCTGCTAGTGAACTACAATAAGCCTACGGGGTGGCAATGATACATCAGGGCGGTGCAAACTTTGAAATGGAATATGATGCCGATACTCTTTGCTGATCACAAGCTCTGCAAGAGTAGTCGCGACCACATTCTCATTCAGCAGGTCTACGCTCTATTCGAGGCAACAACGGCAATACCTTTCCGCAAGATGAGCCTCGCGCTGCAATCCAAGCTGCATTTGGATGGGCGTTAAAGCAGCGGCAACTTAAAGCATCGACGCTTTGCTCATACATTGACACTGTCTCGTGACGCTGCACAGTGTGCAACGCTAATGATACCGTCGAAAATGCAAGTCGACACAATGATCTTCGAGAGCATCGTCACTTTGTAAAAACACTAGGTCATTTTGTCCTAACGCAAGGCGCGCGTAGTGGCCCAGCGAGCATCAAGCCTATAGCTGTAAAAGCTGTCCTCTCTACCACATCCTCGTAGCGCAGCATTCTTGCTCTTTTCTTCGATCGTTCGCCTCGTCACGCTGTTATTATTTACAAGATGGAGGGATTTATTACGTTCATACCCTATTTCGTTATATTCACACCCTTCCAGTTTGACCCAAATTTGCATTCTAATATAAGAGGTTGGGGAGCAAGCTCTGGAGCCTGCCCTTGGATATAGGTTATTCAGTTCAGAGAACTGAATCAAGATGCATAACACTGGACCACAGCAGTCACTGAAGAATAAGTATGATGCTGTTTACTGTCTGTATTAACCTGGTACAGTAAACTTAGGCAATGTGATCGACCTTTGCTTGTTCGCATCCTGCATTTGCTTACGCAATCATATTTGCCTTTGATCATTTTTAAGCCAATCAGGTGTGCGCATCACAATATTGACCTGGTGATAGAGTGACACCTAATCGACCTATGAGGGGGACGGGCTAGATCGCTCTAAGTACGGGTCAGGTACATCTAACCGCGTTATTTACAGATAGAGTGACTGACCCAAAACACACAGATAAGTGCGATCAAAAACTTTGGCATTCGACCTTGTGCTAACTCACTTATAATTTCACCTTTCGGGCTCGCAATTATGTTGCTTTACTTCACGTTCATATTTAGTTTTCTCGACTGATCACTCATCACGCAAATTACAGACATTGAATACGTATAGAATCCTAACATCTATCCGCATACAGGTTCGGAAGCCCAAAAAATGAGCTTTTTTACTGGTCCCGTTTTAGCAGATACATGCTCATACGAAGTTGGCAGGCCGTTCCTGGATTTAAGGATAGCCGACTACAGATGAGAGACTGGCAGCATACGACTACTTCGTCGCATCTTACAAGCCGCCTGCATTTTGATAGGGCACACTTTCGCCCACACAAACATCAACTAAAACGCAATGATGTTGTGTGTGGACATGTATGCACACCTGGACCTTTCTTACATCTTTTGATTATTATGTCCTGATCGTGCGTTTGATCCGCGCGATACCGCTGCGATAGTTGCCCAAGCGGAGCATAATGACGTAATTTAGGCTGAGTGCAGCAATGACTTTGCAGCTATTTTATGTATAGTAAATGTAAAACACAGTTTCGTTTTGCATTTTGTTTGTTTCAGATTGTCTGTGGGAGGCGCAAAGAAAAGCCGACGGACATCACAGGGAGTCTAGCAGTTGTGTCTAAGCTATGATTCAATACTTATGGAACACAAGCGTAAAATTTTAGTATCATACGCTTCTGCACATTCCAGTATAACAATTTCGTAGCATGTAAATTAATTTGTAGACTGCATGGCGATGACCTCGACAATGACTTGTCCCAATCTCGAGACACTCCTTCAAGTACTAACAAACAATCATGCACTCCAATAAAGTTCATTTTTTTGTTGAAAGCTTTGCCTACAAGATCCATACCAGATGGTCCTTTTTCTAACGACACTTCTGTCAATCGGAGATGTGTATTGACTAAAGGTATTGGACATTTTACAAGAACTCTTCCTTTTACAAGAACTCTTCCAATTGTTTAGGTAGAAAAGGAGTATGAAGATCAGGGGTGAAGTAACGATTTTGACAAAAACGCGCGAATAACAATTTGGAAAAAGACGTGCGCATGTCAAGTATGAAAAATGGTAGGAATCTAAGAAAGACGAGTGTGATCATCAGCTCCCAAGATTATTTGTTTTTGCAAATTGGCATTGGAAAAAATTAAAAATGTGTTGCGAGATACTTAAAAACTATTTTTTTAGTTGTAACTACGATTTGAGACTATCTGTGAACCGATCTGAAGCTACTTATGCAACACCACACTTTCATTTATCTCTTTCTGATTTTCTTTATCACGATTATAAATCATTCAATTTCAAATTATATCCCATCTCAAGCGAAAGTGCTAGGGAAACGTTATTCAGCCACCACCCTTTCGTTAAACAGTGACCACCTACCAAAAAAATTACGATCTAACACTCATTTTAGTAGACAATGCATTTACTTGGATAAAAGCAAGGAATCATTCGATTGCCTCTACTTTGTTAATCCGTCGCCGGCATTTGTCCCCCATTGAGCATCGATTTCCCAAAATTAGACCGAATCGGGAATCAATAGGTCGCTGCTGCTCCAAAACAGATATGGGTTCGACCAATCGGTTTTTACATGTTTCAATCGTTCAAGTCGTTTCACAATAATGCGTCTAGTCTTCGTGCCAAAAAAAGAGATGGTAAAGCCAAAAATGTGGGTGATAAGTGAGAAATGCATGCGATTCTTGCAGACGGCTGCAGCCAAAGAGGTGGAAACGGATAATAAGGGTGGTAGATAATTTGTAGAGAAACATGAACAGAATGCGATTTGTAGAAGCAGATGCACGATTAAACTTGGAATTGCTGCTAAAATGCATGAACGCCAAGGTAACGGAGTGTATCGCGCCTCGTGAAACTGGAGATGCGAGTTGTGTTTAAATAAGACCTAGGGCTCGAAAGGCAAGAAAAACGTCACTTTCTCCGTATTCTCCCTCGAAAAATTTAACTACTGGTGGAAGCGATGTTGTATTTATGCATTTTCAATGTTTGTTTTTCTACGTTGGTAAAATCTTCTTTGTACAGATGCTGGTAAATTGTCTGGCTACAGGGTTTCTAGAACCTGTGCAAATCGTTACGCGGCCTCGTCGTCTAAACGAGGCATTTGACAATAGACATGACAGAAGTGACTCTTTCGATTGCGGCGACGCTTAGTAGGGCCTCCAAAAAATTGTTGGGTTTAAGTATGGTGATGCTTGCAGTGTTACTCCGATAATTAAGTAAGTAGTGCCTCGTAGAAAAATCACGCTAAGGTTCAACATTGTGATATGTTCAGTGTAGGTGAGACATCCGAGTAGACATAAAAGAAATTGGTAATGTGAGCTGTGTGATACCTCGATGCGGTAGCTGCCTTACTTAAAATCCGTAGTACCAACGTTTTTGCTTATACTGCACCTACCGGTGTAGCACTAACGTTTTTTTAGTACCTCAATTACCGCATCGTAGTATTACAAAGCCTGCATTGCCAACAGTTGTACTACAGGTTCAAATAATGCAATCTCGGAATATGCTGGGCACTACGATGATCACAAAACTAAATCAAGGTTAGGATAAATGAGTCGGGTTAAAAATAAAGTTACGGACATGAAGTCATCATCAAGTCATGTCGCATTTGTCGCCACGCTGGAAGTCACGCTGGACCGGACAATATCCGATAACCCATGTACTACAAAGGACTATCCAATCGAAAATAAAATATTTGCATTTAAAGAAAAATGTGTAGCCGCGGCTGAGCAGAAAACTAAACGAAAATATAAAGGATGGAAACAAGCAAAAACCAAATTTGTCGAACCCATTTCTGTTTTGGGGCAGCAGCGACCGATGATTAACGATCCTTCTAGGGTTGGGTAAGCGATGCTTATTGGGGGACGAATGCTGGCGACGAAACAACAGGGTGGAGGTAATCGAATGATTACCTTCTTTTGTAAATTAAAATACATTGTCTTTTAAAAAAATGTAGACCGTGTTCGTGGATGGTGGATGTACAACGGAAGGGTGGTGGCCTAGTAACGTTTTCCAAAAGTTGTTGCAGACACATTCTCTTTATTATAGTACAATTTTTATTGCATCAGCTACGGGAAAGCCATTAAAGATTTAAATTCGAAAAGTTAAACAACGGCAAAGGCGACTGATTCAGCAATTTAAACTTTTGCTTTTGAACAAGGTAGACGCTCCGTCTTGTCCACGAGCAGCGAGACGTTTTGTGTTTTGCTATGTAACTGTGCGAGTGTGGGTTGCGAATGGCATATTTAAATAGCACAGCACGACTGAACGAGTCACTAGCTCTGTAGTCCGTGAAGCGTCATCTGCAAAACTGACCACATTCGCAAAAATGTTAAGTTTAATGACTTCGTCACCAATCCAATATGTTTGCGTCCGATTTTGAGATGTATCGGGAACGTAAACAAATAGCTTTTTCCAGGTGTCGAGGACGCTTTATCGAACCATCTGTAGAAATGTCAGCGATTGAACTCAGGAACGCTTACGGAGCATGTGTGAGATGAAAAGATATTCTTTACCAAGAATTTGTTTTGCGTTACTCAAGGTGATCGACATCCGATGAGGAGCTTGTTTAGATGACGTTTCTATCACTTGGATTACGTGCCACTTCACGTGCATCCGCTAAACCGGGCTCGGGATGCCTTGTATCTCACCAACAATGTCAATATTAACATTCAGCGCATCGCTTTCACAGCCGACGTCACTCAGTGGTTACTAACGTGCCACCCCACGCTCATATGATGGATTGAACCCTCGGTGACTTGACGCATAGTAAATAGTGCCTTCAGCTTTCAGTGCGTTGCTCTCACAACGACTATCACTTAGCGGAGTACGCGCTGCTTCATTATCACATATCGAGACTTGCTCTATACTCATGTGTTTTACATCGACAATCAACAAATTATAGCATGTTCATGTCCATCAAACTGACAGTGCAAGCCAGTGGCTCGCGCAGTAAATCTTCAGATTCCTAGCAGACGTGGGTCCATGAATTTCCAAAGATTCGCTAGGGGGTATTCACTTGGCGCCTAGTGTTTGTGACCTTCAATCGATCCATTGCTCGTGGCATTTAAGCCATTTTTATACCATAAATGCAATCATGTCGTGAGTCCAAGCAAGGACAAAAAGTAGCGATCAGTACTATCAAAATTGGAACATGTTACACTAAGGCTCACATGAACTATAAATCTTATTACTAGAGTCCCTGTCGCTAAGCTAACAGTGATCGTATCACCCATGTGCGTTTATAGCGCCTTCAACGAAACATTCATTTACGTTACGATAACAGCGTCTGGCGATATTACCGGATGCTCCAGCGTCGATAGAAATAAGCCAGGTAGGCCAACCTCCTTAGCAGTCGCCCTAACGACCAACAATCATGTCTTGTATTTACGACCAGTTTTAAAGTGCACAGAAATCCTTGTAGATAAAAATTGCTCGCACTACCCCCAAGAGGCTCAACAGAACCAAGTTCTTCCCCAGCATGGCGCCCCACGCCTGCTGGGAGTTTAAGTATTTTTGCGCCATACCAGAATTCAATTTAGCTGCGGGAGTTCGGCCTAAAGAAGCCTTGCGTGCCCTGCGTAATGGACAAATAGGTTGCAGATACTTTGTTCTTCCGCACTTGATACATCGTAAGATTTTGATGCTGCTCTATATCTCGAAGCTTGCTCCTTTGTCCGTCTTGGCGAGACTGATGTCTATAGGATCCAGCATATCAAATGAACTGAATGATTTTGTCGAGCTTGGGTTTTATTCAAGGGTGCTAAAACGAGCTGCCTTGTGCGTACACAGCAGCCTTAAAAGAGTTATTGTGTATTCGGATTACTTACGGTAGACCCACGGCCGTACGAATGCCCTCTATGAATATTATATCCCAATACCACTACTGGTAAGGGCTTAAGCTGCATGGCATTAATTTGAGCTCTCAGTTCCTTAACATAGTCCGATAGATCTTTCTTGCCCTGACGGGCAGATGTGAAAGATTGCGCACCCTGTATGCCTGATTACGCAGACTAAATCCGTATTATCTACTTTTGCATTCTAGCAAATCCTATGAGGGAAAAGACTCTTCTACCTACGTACTATATGTGATAGCCCATTCTCTGGCTCCACCGCCTAATTTTTTTGAACTTTGTTTTTGAGATGGCCATCTCAACCCACTGTTGCTTTCTTCTCTAATTCTCAGGAGGAGATTCTCATCATCTATTTACTCAAAAATAATGCAGTCAAGACAAGGGGAGACCCCTGGCTCTTCGTTAGTATGAAAACATACCGAGTAAGCATAGCAGATACCAAATGATCGTGTACTTGCCTAATTAAAGTGTACTTAAACTGCATGAAAGCGTCAAGACATGCACATATCACTTTCGGAACTTGTAAAAGGATTACATTGACTCATTCATCATCGACTAGCTTTCTAAGTTTCTCCAACGGTTATCCCTGGGCCTCCGAAATGTGAAAATCTTTGATTCTAACCTAACACAGGAACAGTCTTTAACAGACTCATGTGTGAATTGACTACATGTGCAACCAAGATTGGCAGAGCTACACCAACTCGTAGAGTTGCTTAGTGTATTGAACTTAACGGGTATTAGCTTAAAGGGTCTCAAGTCTTACCGACTTAATGAGACTTATCTCTAAATGCTTAAACAAAATCGTCAGCTTCTATTTCCGGTTCAGGGGACTCCGACTCCAAAAATTTGAATGACATTAATGCTTAAGAGTACTGAGCCTAAGCACAGGCACTCAACTCTTACGACCAGAGACGCCTTAGAAATAAACGTGTCTAAATCTTATCAAAAGTAAAACTGAATTTAATTACTAATATAGGGCGATTATAAACTCCTCTTACGTCTTTGACCTTAGAATTATGCTACCTAATCGAAAGTTCCCCAAATAGATTTATTTAGTGAACCACACCATAGCTATGCCGCCCCTCTGAAGATCCTACTACGATAGATACAATCTATCCGAAACCGATAGGATACGGTATTACCGCTTAGTGTACGTGATTGAATAGTACGCCTATAAGCGACACTTACAACTTTCTGTGTATACCAAACCAGCTTAATTGGTTGATTCAAACGTCTGTGTGACCTTGTTTCAATGTGCAACCATAATTTCTCAAGCGAATGAGAATCGGAGTCTTACATGATAAAAGCGTTTGATACGTATAACGAGAAGAATAGATAAGAGACAGATACAAAGGCCATTGCACAGTTACTAAAAGGGCACATATCGATGTATACATATACATTAAAACAGGGGCACAAGCTCTATAGCTCGCTCTTTTTTATAAATATTTTTGTCCATTGGACTAAATTAGATTTAAAATGTTGTATTTCATTACTGGTGGTTGGCGCTTAAAGATTAGGTTTTCGCTTTAAATTTAGTATTGAAATTAATGTTGGATTGTGTGTCAAAGCTACTCGTTCGTTGATGTTTACAGAGACAAGAATCAGTTAAATTAGACTGCATATGGACCCTGCAGGTACAAAGCACAGCTGGTGACATACTTTTGATGAATGAAGTAATGATTTAATTAAGTGGAATTCCTCATCCACCGAAAGATAAAGTTGACCGTGAAATTATACTATACAGATAAATAGAGAGTCTTTGGTTGAAAACAACTTTACGTGTACATTTTGTGTAACACGGTTACACTTGGTTATTTGAACCGGTTTTATGGGTGTCCACCAAGTAAAGATTGGTGGATCTGAGTGGTATAGTATTGGTACCACGTACTTACGGCAATACCGCACCTTACTGGGTTAGGATAAGGGATCAGACTTCTGTCGTAAGATCACAATGTAGGAGTCAGTCAAACAAGGTTTTAGGGTTTCTCATTCTTGAAAGAATAAATCGAGTTCAGTTCCCCTTTGAATCGCTGGACGCTAGTGCCTAGTCAAGGCCTAGCGTGCTGCAAGAGTATTAGCCTTGTGAAGGCGCTTACTCTTGTTTGACTAGTAGTGACTAGTTAGTGTGTGATTCTGTGAATCTTTATCCCTTTGGAACCGGGATTGTTAAGCTTGTACGCTTGAACGACTGTACGTCGCTGTTAGTTTGTTACAACAAAGAGGTTCTTTGAGTCTAAGACTTCCTTTGTTACGGAGCGCTAAGTAGCCCCGCTACATTTCGCGAAAGGTGCAAGGCTTGCTTTTCTATAAGTCGGGAATAGGCTTCTATCCCCCTGTTTCCCATTGTCTACTTTGGAGCCGACTGAATGTAGTCATTAGTGCGTGTGTGGCTTTCACTTCCGATGAGGTTGCAAAATTTGACTGCCTCATAGATCTGCACTTATATTCCATTTCAAATTAAAAGGGTGGAAAATGCTACATCTCACTTAGTACTACGTTTAAGGTGCGCTTAACGCTATATACACACATTTACAAGAGGAGATAGAACAATCGCACGAAGTGCGACGTGTAAGGTGCAACTTGATCTATATCGACACACACAGACACATGCACGGACATGGAAAAAGTAGGGTTCGATAGTTTTGTATTCACCTTGCACTCTTCCAATGATAGCTTCAACGTTCTAGCTTGGGTCATAGAGTAGTTTTCGTAAAAAAATAGAGTTTGCAATATGAAGGGGGTTATTGAGATTTTAGATTAATGATCCTGAACTGTGCTATTATTCTTTTTATTAACGTTATCGGGTGGCACGAAGATGCTGTATACAAGTTGTCGTATAACTGCGAATGACCTCTTTACGGAGCTTAATCATGTGTTTTTCGAATAACTGTGCCAACTGTATCCTGTCAGAGCAAGCTTGAGCTGCGTCGATTCACGACGTAATTTTACATTCATCAAGGTAGACCGTGGGCCCGGAGAAATGAAGGATGTTGGCCGCAGGTATTGTACTACAATAATTAGAATGTTACATGTGAAAACATCGGACCAGGTACGATTATGGGGTATATACAGGTATGTGTCTTTTAATTCGAGCGAGATAGCGCTAGGATATAATGGCATCTAAAAACGAACATCTAAACACACAATCGACCAATCAAAGGTGGCTATTTCATGTGTTTACTGATTATACGCAAGTTAAAATGAATTCGAGTATTAAGGAAACGAAAACAACAGCTTTCTTTATTCTACGTGCGTGCGTTGCTTGGTTGCTTTACTGCAAGACACAAATAGCGACGTTATTGATCATGTGCGCGTCATTATCCACTCGGCATGCAATAAGAGAACACAGACTTGCGAAAGGAAAGAGTGACATCACAGTTTCCGCTCAACTTACAAAGTTTTATGCAAACATGGGTGCTTTACTGGTACTGCTTCCATCGAATATGACACTGTGAAAACTTTCCTTACGTGCTGCCTATGCAGCTTTGTCTTTAATTATACGCCTCCTTTTTAAGAACTTCAGCCAGCTCTTCTTCGTCTTCATTGACATTTCTTCCTCGGTCTTCGCCGCCTTCAGCTTCTTGTTCATCTCTATTGAATCCTTCAGCTTCTGCGCTACCTCTATTGATGTAGTCCCGGATGCGTCTTTCCTTAGGTTCATCGTCTTCTCACTGAAAGCCGCAAAATCCTTGTAGATGGATAGCAAGTCGCTTGGCAATCCGTTTTCGTCTATTTTTAGAGCGTTTAAGACGAAAAGCCTGTGATCCTCACCATTTTGTATTGACGTAATCATCCAATGCTTGAATAGCTCAGCCTCCAAGCGTTTAGCTGCCAGCTCTCCGCCCTTGATCTTTTTCGCCTCGAAGATCATCTTCGCGAGAGCATCGTCACTGTAGTACGTAAGAAGTACCGACATTAGAGACACTCTCCTCCTTTCATCGTCCGCATACTTGACCCAGAGACTGAATAACGGGTTCGTTAGTAAGTTTTCGTCTTTATCAAGTTGCAGCTTCGCGAAGACAGATGCTGGTGTATACCTATCATCGGCAAATGACTTTCTCGCTTTCCCAAGCCATTGCTCGAGCTGCTTGGCCATTAAATCCCTGGCCAGGTTGGCTGATTCAGGCTGTTTCGATGCGGCGATTAAGATTGTCGTCAGCTTTTCCTCGCCAAAGAAGTAGTCCATCGTCTCAACCACGCTCGTTGCTTGTTTAGGGTTTACCTTGTTGTGTTTGTCGATAACCTTTAACCAAGTCTGGAACTCCGCACTCGCCAGTAATTCGCCATCTTCCTTGAGTGACGCCACTTTAAATACATCGCCCGGATCTTTTCCCTTCCAGAAAAACGGTAGTATGCCCTTTAAAACTTGAGCTGCCTCGGTCTTTCCTTCTTTAAGCAGCTGCGTCAAATCCGAGTAGCTAATATGTCCAGTCACCGCCGGGAGCATGATCAGTCCAGAGTTTCCCTGCTCTTTGCTCTGTGCTTCAATGTAGCTGAGCCATCTGGCGAACCAAGCACGTTGCGACTCAATACTCTGTGTCTTATGTAGTCCAAAAGACATGTAGACATCGAGCGAAGCTTTTTCATCAGCTGCCCACTTGCCATACAGCGCAGAGAAAATGCTGTCCGCTTCCTCGGTCCTCTTGGCTGTTCCAAGCATGTTCACCAGCTTATCCGTCGGGTAGTACATCAGGAGCGCACTCACCATTTCCTTGATGTTGTATGATTTGTACTTGGCTTCTCCCTCGATATCAAAATATTTATCCACGTAGCTCGCCCATCTGGCGAGCAAGCCAGGTTCCAAGTCGTTGCCCTTCGTCTTGTGGAGCCCAAATATTCCAACAACACCAAGCGGAGAGACATCACGTTTTAACCACTCGGAATACAATACGGAGAAAATGCCATCCGTTGTGTCGGTCTTCTCCGCCGCCGCGAGCATTCTCACCAGCGCATCTTGTCGAAGACATCCCCTCAGCGCAGATAGAATTGTTACCGCGGGATCAACTCTCGCGATGCTCTCGTGTTTGTTTCCTTGAGCTTTCAAGTACTCATCGGCATATTTGAGCCATCTAGCGAACAAGCCATGTTTTAAATCATTGCCATTGACTTTGTGCAGCCCAAACGTCGTGAACACGTCACGCAAAGGTTCTTCTTGAGCCAACCACTCGGTATGCAACTGGGCGAAAATCTTCTCTCTTAGTTCGGTCTTCTCGGCTTTTACGAGCATGGCTACCAGCTCATCTTCCGAGTAGTATTTCTTTAGCGTAGTCAGCACTGCTGCCATGTGATCAGGTTCCATTTCAACGACCATCTTCGTGTACGCAACCCATAATTTAAAGTCCGGACTATCAAAAAGCTGCGTATTAGGCTTATGGAGACCGAATCTTTCGAACACGTGGTCCGGTGACTTTTTCTGGTCGATCCAGCTATCCAGCTTTCCCAAGGTAACTTTTGGCCGTAGAGGTTGCTTCAAATTCTTGATCCAAGAAAGCCCTTCAGAAATGTTGATCCTCTCGTCTTCGTCGTCCTCATTCCCGAGATCGCCATCCTTGACACGCTGATCCGACTGCGCTTCGTCCGGGTGCGCGAAAAGGTTACGATTTGAATCCAACGAGCCTGAAGCGAGCGGGTGCGGGCGCAAGTGAGCATTCGAAGTGTCGAGCAGTACGACTGCACCAAAGAGGAGGACACCAAGAAAGTGCATTATGCAATCTTAGGACTGTGTAGCGAGGAGCAAATTGCAGAGTACAAAGTGCGAGACTTTGCTGTTCCATACCACATGTTTAGGAGAATGCTTGAAAACGATTAAACGGCAGTCGTCGTTGTCCAGGTTGCGTAATGTGCTCAAATCATCAAACTCATCCAGAAGGCCCCGGCCTGGCTTTCATTTTTAGAACTGTAGACCAAACCATGCGTGGCTTATGGATTTATTTCTGACACATTTGTCAACACCAGCCGAGAAGAGGTTTACATGTGTACAATGCTGGACCATGTAGCTGAGATCACCACCGCTCTTTTGCTTTGTGAAATGTATGCTCGCGCATGGATTATTCTGGACACGACCACGTGCATATTCTAGTGCATCTATGTCCATTAATCAGTCGGCATGTTTTAGTATAGAACTGACAACGAGCCAGTCTGCAAATCTTTCACTCGTCCTACGTCATGTCGTTGTGCAACCTCCTCTTTCAGCATTTGGCATTAGCTCGCATCAAAGTGTGAGCTTTTTCCAAACGATGCTTGACTCCCTCAAGCCACCCACGACGATATTCAGCCTATCCATTGACCTGCATGATAGTGCAGCCTAGGTCATGCGATAAGCTTGAAAACGATCATGGTTGGGTGCTCAACAGACTGTGCTTATATCTACACTCATTCGCCTTTATGTCGCACCGGCTCCGGAGTTCCTCCAGCCTGCATCAAGGATTGCGTATTTTTCCTGGACACATTTAACTGAAGCAGCAGCGTGCCCAACTGATGCGCCCAAATGCTCAACGTGTGGACCTTAAGAAGGTACCTTCATATGCTCAGGCGCTGTTTTCTGCGATTGAGATTGTCTTGATTCTACATTCCACTGGGTAAAAGCGAGGGACATTACATGTACGTACGTTTGACGATCGCTGAGCGTACGGACACTAGACTCTTTGCGTACATGCGAATGGGGTCCATCCAATTTATGGTACAGCTGGTCGACGGTACAGTTTTCTGTACCTGTCGAAAGATTACTCAATGTCTCACGTACTGACGAGACAGTACGAATGTATTTACGAGCTTTTGCCCGCCGGTATGTATATCTCTGCCAGCGTATTGTTCCTGAATTGTACCTGAATTGTACCCTACCGGATTTAGTATGAATACCTCCCAATTTTGTGTAGTACCAAACTCGAATACACTACATAAATAATTTGGCTGAGTGTACGTCCCCGCTCATCGACATGCGCCAACTCCCTAGTCTTGGACACTGGCCTCTTCTCCGATGACGGTGCCACGACCAAGCCGCTATAATGGTAACTGGCTGTGTAGGTTTAATAGCAGTTCTGATTCAGGTTGCAAATCATGCTCCAATACGTTCGTTAACTTTGGCTCATTAAGGGGCAGAAATGTCGGAGACGCCGAGCTGTCAAAAGGACAAAGTATGCGTCTAGCTAACGGCTAAGCAGATTATTATAAGATAAGGCGCAGGCCGTACCAGAATTTGCAATAACTCTTCTAGCGACAGTGATAAGTGCTGAAGGCACGATTTTCGTGACAGAGTATGCTTGTACGTATTATACTCGTACGTGATGTATGTGATTTGGCATGTAGGTCGCGGGGTATGTTATTGTGGTCGGCTTCGCGATTAAATAGGAAATAAGGACTGCTCATCTTACAACTAGAAGACGCAATCGTACTCTCCAGTAGGCACCCTTCCGATGTACCTCCTTTGTCTTGACAAGCGGACTTCTTAGTTTACTACTGCGCTTGACATCACGCACTTCTTGTCTGCACCGAACGTCTTGATAAAAAACTTGCATTCCATGAAGACAGACCCGTAATATTGCCTCATTGACAGCTCTGAGCTCATCCAGTTGGCGCAGGTCGAAGCAGGCCGTGTACTCAGCCATATTTACAATGTGGAGTGTTTAGACCGATCAACACGAAATTGGGAAGAACTTGTACCTAATTTGAGAAAGGTACTTTTACTAGGACTATACGCTGGCGAAGTTACTAAAGCTGAGAAATACTCCATGTTCATCGGTGGTGGGGTTGTCAACAGCTCCCGAACCGTCAGTCATGGTTCGTTTATGGTCGAAACTAATAAAACTTGTTGGCAAACTCTTGCGAGCTGACAGAACCGTTTCTAGAATGGTAGGACAGGTTCGCGAACCAGTCCCTAGTATGCCGCAGATTCACTATCGCCTCGAAACCGATATCAGTTAATACTACAACACTGAACAGGTACGTTTCATGTTGTTAGGATGATGATTTATGAGATAAATCATCAAAAAGTTTTATGGAAGTTTCAGAGGATTACCATGGGACTGCGTTACGTGAAGGCTTAGAGATAGCTTTTAGTAGTGAGCCGAGGACCTTAGACATATATCGATTTTGGCTTTTGTCTCCAACTACTTTACAGATTAACAGCCGCAGCTCGGCCCGCTGCATCAAGGTCAAAGAACTCCTTCGACTTGCACGAAACGCACACGATGAATACTATCGCGCCGAAGTCCCCCTACGAAGTGAAAAGCATTTCCACTGTGAGCTTAATTTGAGGATGATTCTCGCCAGGAAAGGTCTGCTGGCGCACGTGGAGGTGGTCAAGTAGAAGAGCGAGATATCTGAAGCTTGAATAGTAAATGACGCGAAAACGCTCGGTATCATTGCGAGAGTGTGTAGAGCTACAACACCATAGAAAGATCCGTCCATCTAAGCGTGCGATTCAAGCGTGGGTAACGTTTAAAGAGTTTTACCATCGAACTACACGACACAATCGGGCCACGATGACACGGCGCCTCCACGAGTTCAAGATGAATTTTGGAAAGACCATGGCAAAGCATTTAAACGCCTTCGCACGATCTCGTCGTCCATCTATAGACGCTTGGAGATCCTGTCGACGAGGCATGGCAGCTGGTATAGCTAATGAGCAGCCTATCAGCCAAATTCGAGATGATATCATCTATCATCGAGAACTTAAATGACATCACGCTCAACGAGGTGAAAGAAAAGCTGTTGAAGGAGTGTGAACGATTGGAGAGAAAGAATACGACCCCAGAACGAGCGTTTAAGGTCAACACTGGACGATCCAAGGTCAATAAGGGGAACGGTCGCAAGTGTGGCGGTCAGAAGAAGAACCCTAGTGGTTTTTGAGGCTAGTGTATCAAGTGCAACAAAGTTTGGCACATGAAGCGGGACTGTCAAGACCGGACAACAGATGGCGAGGACGATGCGGTATTTGCTGTAAGAACAGAACGTGTAAACGAATGTTTTTTCGATAGCGTAGAGACCTCCTCTTTGGCCCCGCACCGAATGATCTTTAGGAGTATGAGTACATGAACGATGGTATCAAAGTATCAATTGCTGACGGAAAGAAGCTGCAGGTCACTGGACGTGGTAAGGTACGCTTGATTGGACTAGAGGGTAACAGATTAAGATGGTTAAAGATCTTCACATCCCAGGCCCCGATCGGCGTCTGTTGTCAGTGGTAAAGATCACGGGTCGAGGCCTGAACGTGGAGTTTCAGCGTTCCTCATTCGTTAAATATGGAACGTCTAGCGCAATTGCAAAGGGCAAAAAGGTGGGCAAAGCGAACATATTAGGCTGTGAACAAGAAGAAAAGCTCGCTTAGTTCAATGCGATGAGGTTGGCAGAAAGTTGGAGCTTTGGGACTCTCGCATGGGGCAGCCCAACCAAGACGCTCTGACTAAGACGCGTCATGCCACGAACGATATTCCAGCTATTGCCTTACCGACCCAGTCTTAATGTGGCATATGCATGAAAGGGAAGCAGAAGGTTAATACATTTCCATATTGGACTAACTCAAAAACGTCGCGCGTTCTTGAGCTCGTCCACACGGATGTGATGGGGCCCAAGGAGAATCTATCCAAACGCGGTGCAAAGTATGTCCTGACATTCGGGGAAGACTACTCGAGCTACTTTGTGGCTTATTTCTCAAAAAGAAGAGCGAGGTGGCCATTAAACAAAGCATGTTCAAGACGTTCTATGAGAACCAATGAGGAGAATGCATCAAGCGTTTACTATCGGATAACGGAACGAAATTTGTAAACCAAGAGGTGACAAAGATATGTATGTTGAATGGCATCGTGCATCAACAGAATGTCCGTACAGCCTTCAGCAGATCAAGTGGCAGAACGGATTAATCGTGCTATCATGGAGAAATCGCGAAGCATGCTACACTACAAGGGCGTTCTAATGGAGTGATGGGCTAAAGCAGTCAATACTACGGTATTTCTGATCAATCGTTCCACGAAAACGCAAAACGCAAGTGTGACACCGTATAAGCTGGGTTTAAAAGTAAAGCCTTCGTTAGACCACATACGCGTATTTGATTTTTTGCGGCTACGCTTACATCGAGAATGCGAAGAGGGAGAAGATTGAACTTAAGAAAATTAAGGTGTCTGCTGCTTGGATACCCAGATACCATCTAAGGTCACCGTGTCTATGACTTGGACACTTCCAAGATTAAAGTGTCTCGCTTAGTAAATTTGGACGAGCGTGAGGTGGGAGGTCCTTACGACATACTACCGGCTCATAATGGAAAAGTCAACTATTTTAGCACAGACGCTGGTATGGGTGTCACGCCCGCACCGTTGGAACATTTACTTGTCGAAGCAGAAACAATGGAAGACGTTGAGAACGATGCATCAGACTTAAAGACGGACAGCATGCAACCGGAAGAGAAAGATGTACTTTCGCTGCTCATGCCGTTAGAATGGTCGGCTCCGACTGGATTTGATTTGGATCCGTACCGTGGACCACCTACTAACTTCGAGGAAGATCAAGTGGTGTTCTATTCCCCGTTAAACCGTTTCAGACGTTCCGCGAACCCGTTTTTATTCTTGAAGATGGAATGGACGCCGAGGAAGAACGGAAGTCTGAAGGAAGTGATGGACTGTGCTCTTCAAAGCGTGCCATGATTGATGAAATTGGTCTTATTGATGAAGCCGTTTTTGCGCGCAGCAAGCATTGACGCAGTGGATCTTCCTA